GATCACAATAAAGGTGATTCATTATGCATAATTACTTATCCTATAATCTAGATAATCCGAGTGTCCTATTTCATTAATTATTCCTTCTATTTCTTCTGAAATAAATTTGACAATTCCGTTGTTCAATGTTTAGATGAACTTTAACCGCCAACAATTTAACAATATTTTAACTTAAAAAAAGTCATTGTTTCATGTTCGATCCAGCTGAAGAGCTATGAAAAATCATCGACTGAACCAAAGGCTAAAAAAAGGAAACTCCATGATGTAATTAATAACCATGAATTTTTAGAACAAATGAAAGAATAATTGGGATGCACTATTGATGAGATAATCAACTATTCCAAAAATATTAATTCTACAAGGGAAATAATTTAATGACCTTTTAATAGAACTTATTTTGCATATGAAAAACCCGTCGATTAAGACTAGATGGTCAGTCGAAGAATGTATTACACGCTTAAAATCCCAATACAAAACAGAGCTAAAGACAAGTGTTGATCAAAAGGAAAAGTACAGGGATATGGTGGATAAATTTAAAAAAACAAAAATCTGTTGAAAAATTGTGGAAATTTATGAAACCGTTGAACCAATTGACCCAAATACGAAATTGGTTGTACAGACAATAGTTTCAGTTAATTTTATTCAATTGAAATTTCTTTAACTCTTTCTTTAATTTCTGGTTCATCAATTCTTGGAATTTTCACACTCAAAGTTCCTTCATCTGAAAGAGTTGCTTTAACTTTATCCAAATCAAGCGAACCCTTTGGAAATCTGAAAGATTTAGAGAATTGGAAATGACCATTTTCAGTTTTCTTTTCAGCACTAATTGTAATCAAATCACCAAGTGAATTTTCCTTAATCTTTACCTCAATATCTTTCTTTTCAAACACATCTCTTGGAATATTATTAATATCTAGTGAGAGCTCATTCTTTCCATCTTGATTAATTGTTCTAATCACAGATGAAATTGGACCTCTACGTCTCAATGGCTTATCAGTAGATGTTTCACTCATTGAAGAACTTTCACTTGATGATGAAGATGAAGAGCTAATACTCTTTTGAGCATTATTATTCATAGAATTGAAAGAATTGGTATAATCTTCCCACCATTGATGATCATCAAAGAGGGAAGGCAACATGTTTGATCTTCTCATCATGTTATTCATTCTTCTTCTCATGGAATTGAAAGATTCATCAAAGTTAGAAAAAGGTGATGATTGAAACCATTGATTATCAAACCAATCATTCTGATATCCTTGGTTCAATCCTTTCATCAACTTTTTCCAAATATTCTTCTTTGATTTCTTCCTTGATAACTTTTTAGATTTTTCTGTTTTAATATTTAATTGAGGATTTGATGAGGAAGAGTATTTACCAGATTGATCATGATCTGGTAATGGTGTTGTTGATTGTCCCTCCTTCTCAACACGTACCTCTTCCTCTGCTGTTATAAGGGAAATATCTAAACAATAAACAATGAAGAGTACTGCAAGTAGACTTGAAATGATTACTGTTGTTTTGAATTGTTGTTGATTTATCTTCATCATTATGATTTTCTTTTTGAGAATTGATGTTCTATGAAGCAGTTGATGATCAATTTATTGTACTTCGGAATAAAACACGTATTATTGTTGTCTATTTTTAATACTTAACATTATGATGTTTTCTTATTCCGAAGTGAACAAAATTGGTCAATTAACAATTAAGGAATTAATAAAGTTCCGTAAGTTTTTAAATTAATTGAATTAATAACATACCAATTGTAATTAATTCATTATTTATTTTGGTTCCCCAATTACCTCGTACAGAAGTATTATGATTGTGATAGATCTATTGGAGTGTAGATAAATAAGGACTGTGAAACCCATAAGAGTGTATTAACACTAACATTTTTTTGTCAAATACACAAATTGTAGAGATTAATATAGCATGATAAGAACCCCTCGAGTTGATGCCTGCCTTTGGCAAATGGGAGGTAATTACTCAGGAAATTGCAACACAAGCTACAGAGAATTTCAAGGATGATCCTGACGTTCTTCTTAATGTCATTCGAACCGATATTGCTCAACAAGTTGTCTCAAGAAATGGTCTTTTATTGCAATATTTCTCACCACAAATCAGAGCAAACGATGTTGTGAAAATGGCCATTCAACAGAATCCGTCCTCTCTTCAAAAAAGAGTTTAGTCCAGAACGAGGAAATAGTAACAAAAGCAATTCAATATGATGGATCAGTGCTACAATTCGCACAAACACAATTTAAATCAAGACAATTAGTATTGGAAGCTTGAGTAATGATGTTAGAGCATACAGATTAATAGATTCTTCGTTGAGAAGCGATGAAGATATTCTAAAGGTTTACTCCAACTCTACCAGTTGTTGGACTATTACATTCGATGAAAAGTAAACACGTTGATTATTCAAAGAATAGTTTCTTGACCACATACCATGCATTTTAGGAGACAAATTGATTGTTTTTTTTGAAAATATTAATCATAACTTGGTTCTGGCATGTTTTCATGACATAGGTCTCTATATCTTTCCACATCCCTTTCCCACTGATAAATATTTTCATGATCTTTTGATGACATGCATAACATCCTTGATACATTATACATTTGACCGTAGTATTCTGCTGCGTCATCAAGCCACTCATATTTATCAAACTTTTCCTTAATTGCTGATTGATATTGATGAACTAACTCTATCCACACATTATTATCTTTCAAGAGTTGTGGAATAATGTCCAAAGATGATAAAACAAGCAAAACACCTTGACTGTCAATATTTTCAAGATAAGGGCGTAAATTTTGAAGCATAATATTACCAATTAAATGCTTTTGGGTATCTTCAAGCTCAAATGAGGAGAGAAGAGCAAACGTAATCCTAAATCTCCATTCATTATCCAGTGGTTCGAATTTGAGAATTAAAGTTCCAATTTCCTCAACACTTATGAATTCTGCTTCCAAACCAACCACAATTCTCATAATCTCATTTCTATTGTCTGTTTGCGTAATTACGATTAATTCTGATTCTGATTCTACAATTTTTTTAATGGTAATATTAAAGCCACCTACAACTAATCTCCATTTGCATAACAGTTCAAATGATTTGGAGGTACTATTTGGGAGTAAATGAAGAATCTGCTTATCCAGCTCATCAATCAAATTGCTTCTATAAACTGGTGTTGAGATTGAATAAACCATCCGCTCCATAATTCCCAAATATTCTGTAAAATTAGGGTATCTCAAGTAATAACCCAATACTTGTACTATCATTTTATCTAGAACATATTGTTGGGAAATATCAAAGAATGTGGAAGAGATAAGGTAGTTTAAACCCTTTTCAGCGTAAGAACTCGTAATGCTACTCAATCCGCTTCTATGGAATAGGTTGAAAAATAGCAAAAGATAAACGCCACCAATATTTGTCAACTTGGTACAATCATCCTTGACGGTATAAAAAGAATCAACAATAGACTGTAAGTGCTTATGAGTTGGATTGTTTTCAAAATAACCAACCATTTCAAAGCATGCTTTCAAAAATAACAATTCCTCTTTGTATTTGCTTGTCTTGATATATTTCTCAAACTCTGTTTTAGCTTTGCCCAACCACTTCTCTTCTGGGTTTCTGTTGTGGTACACGCAAACAAGCAAATAGGCAATAATGTAGCCAATAGAACCATCAGAAAATTGTTGTGTGGAGAGATGATCGATGTTGTTCAACACTGTTGGGATCAATTGGTTGGTGAGTGGTTTTTCTGCAGCCGTTTTTATGTTTTGCATAACTTGGTGCATTTGTGAGGGTTGGATACTAAACATTTTTTTGAGGCAAGGTAAATTTTTATTTATTTTCTAGGGTTAATTTTCCCAAAATGTTTACTTTTTATTCAAAACCTTATTGAAAATGAATTATTATTGAAAGTAAGCGATACCAACAACCACCCATTGTTAGAACCTAGTATTAAATTAATATGCTCTGAGTCTTTTCAACTGCGCCAAAACCCCAACACATTATCCACCTTAATTCTCAATGCTTAACTCAATAATCGCCTATCCAAAAAAAAACATAAATAACAGTTGTTTGAAGCAAATCTTATTCTAAACCAAACTAATCCTTTATTAATACCACTAACAATCATTACAATTCGCCAACCAGCAAAACCAAAAAGGACCTTTAAATCTATCGAAAAGTGGGTCCTGAAATTTGGACCCGACTTATTTACTATTAAAAATTGAGTGTAATTTGGCTTGAACGCTAGGATTACAAAAAGGTTTTCAAGCTTGGAGAATTATTTGTTCGCTTGCAACTCCCATCAAGAAAATTTTAATAATCGTGAAAAAACTGGAAGTTTGGATTTTGGAACGTTAAAAAAA